AATTATAAAACTTACAACTTTTTTAAAGTTATCTCATTTCCTGTTTAGTGCAGTTGCTGCGTATCATGTTTCATAAAATGTTACATTTCACATTCAAATTTATATTTTCTGATCTTTTTTAAATTCATCTCTGTTTACCCCTCCCTGTCAGTTTACCACAAGCGTCATTATTCGCCCCCTCTTATGGTTGAAAATTGGGGATTATTTATTGATAGATTTTGGGGTAGGGTTAATAATGATTGACAAGCCCCCGTTTAACCCCCCCATCCCACAGTTTACGTACGCCCCCCCCCCCCCCAGTTTACCCCTAAGCCCCCCACCCCAGTTTACAGATATTACAGATATTATAATTAATTGAAATTTTTTATGTAGGTATTATATAAATAGTGAGTAATACAAATACGAACGCGCGAAAAAGAAAAAACTAAAAATTGATATTTTTGAAATGCATATTTTATACAAAATTGATTGTCAAAAACAACACATGCGTAGGGTTTGGGGATAGTTAACAAGGTCCAAAAGGGGGGATAGTTAACACGATCCCATTCTACTGTTAGATGGGAAGTTTTCTTCTTAATAATTTTCTATGTCACCCGCACCGAGCGCCCATGGATCATAATTGATAATATTGTAATAATATGGTCAGTATCGATAAAACTACAAATTAATCGATTGTAATCCAACAAAAATCCTAATGTTTTTAAAAACTTTATATTACATTATGATCGATTATAATCCATTGAAATTGATAATAATGGATTTTTTGAGAGATTAATAAAAAAATTCCTTTTTTTTCAAAGTTGTCTCGTTTCCTGTTTAGTGCAGTTGCTACGTATTACGTTTCATAAAGATTTACGTTTCACATTTAAATTTATAATTTTTTGTCTCTCTTTCAAATCAACTCAATTTTTCCATCCCTGCCAGTTTACCACAAGCGTCATTCGCCCCGCACTTATAGTTGAACATGGTTGGATTTTTTTTGATAGATTTGGGGGAGGGGGTTAATGATTGAAATCCCCCCGTTTCACCCGTTAACCCCCTTCCCCGTCCCACAATTTCCTTGCTAAAAATAATGGTTTATAATGGATTTTTTTTTTCAAAAAAAAAATTAGATTATAACCGCAATATGTGGTCTGAAATTTATATCTTTATTGAATTATAATGGATTATTTTTGTCTCGTGATTCCATTATAATCGATTAGAATCCATGAGCGCTCGGTGCGGACAACAAATACCAATATGCAACCTTGTTTTGGTGCACTACTTAAGCATTTTTACCATTTACAATTTAAACATGAGTTTTCTGTTGTCTGATTCATTGGATGCATCTTGTGAGCATCATCCATAAGTGGAAGCATCTTTTTGGCAAAGTGTGTATCATCCATTCGTAAAACTCTGGCAGTCAGCAAAAACGAAAGACGTTAATTGTGGTTTGTAGCAATGTTTTTCTAAATCTTCTCTAAGCTAATATTCAGACATGATTCAAGCAGCAGGTACTAGGTCTGGTTTCAAGCTTACTTTTTCCTTCTCGGCTGTATATATTTTTTTCAAGTATACGTCAGCACAGGGGCGGATCTAGGATTTTCTTGAGGGGGGACAATTTTCAAAAAGTTTTCGAAAATTTTGACGATATTTTTTAGGTCGACCAAATTGGTTTTCCGAGCTCTCCTAAAGCACTAAAAAGACGCTGTTTTGGTCAAAATTTCTGCGCCAAAGGCGCCTGTAGAAAACCAAAAATGGATTTCTTAAAAAGTACCAAAAGATGGACCTTTTGGGTTGACAAGGGGTCGAATAGCTAAAGGAAAAATTATGAATAAAATAAAACAAGCATAACCGGTTACTGTGCTCAGTATGTTCCGACCGTAGCACAGAATGTTCCGACCGTAGTCTTTAGAAAACTACGGTTTAGAAAGTTTTTTTTTCCAAATTAGTGTAGTTTTCTCTGCTTGGTGTGATACAAAGATCTGACGTAAAAATATTTAGGCCTAATAGACAGTCATAGTAATAGAGGCAAATTGGACAAATAATTTAAATTTTTTTTTTTAAAATGCCAAAAGTTTTTGAATTTTTTGAAATATTTGTTATAGTAAATAAATTTAAAAAAACTCTTGCTTAAAAGTAAGTTTTAAGGTCTTAAGTTAGGAATAATTTAGCTTGTAAGCCTGCTCGCTTGCTTTATTTGCTCAAATTGATACAGAAAATTGAAAATTTTAAACCGGTTTTTCTCGACACTGGGAAACTTTTTTGAAAATTTTTTGATGTGGTTTAAATTACAACTGAAAGGGCTTTAATGTGATGTTTCACTCAACCCAGTCCAATACTTATTTTTGGTACCTGATTTTGCGCGGAAAACAATAATCAAAAAATTACAACACACCCGAATAAAAAGTTCTTCACCATTTTCAATGGTCGGAGCGGTAAGGTGTACTTTTCTACGTTAATTGTGCAAAAAAATAGTTTGAGCTCATTTAAATTTATTTCGAACGCGCTTCATGGGTGAATAAAAGACTTTCTTTTTTGTGCAGGAAATTCTAGGAAATTTTTAATTTTTGTTGATTTTTGTTTCTTACTATCAAAGACCTTATTCAAAAATACTTGTTTTTTTTCGTGTCTTAGCGTTTAAGGCGTTAATTATCAGCTATGTGATATAAAACTAGAGGCTAAATTATTGTATATGCAGGGGAAAATTTAGGCGGGGGGGGGGCGGGTGGTTGAGGGTGGACGTTTTTACTCAGGGATGCGACCCCCTGCCGAGCCAAAGGGTCCCCCTTTGAACTATTTTGAGATACATATTGAGATATATTACGTGCATTGTAAGCGCATTCCGCAACAGGTCCAAATCAGATTTGTCGTGGAATCCGCAACATTGCTACATTTCTTTGATCTTCTTTGCTGTTTTGGATCCACAAACAAATACCTAAAACACTGTACCCTTCAAAATCGCTCCAAAAATAGGCGAATTTGCGGAATCCGCAACCGTATTTGTGGAATCCAGAACAGTTTGTGGAATCCACAAACAAATAATGAGACATCTGTATAGCTGAATTGAGCTGTTGCGGAATCCGTAACTGTAAACGGAATCCGCAAACTGTAAGTGGAATCCGCAAATTGTAAGTGGAATCCGCAAACTGTAAGTGGAATCCGCATTTTGTTTGCGGGTTCCGTTTACATATATGTATGGGTAGCAGCGTTTAAAACTATATCTTTTGATTAGTACGTTGATCAGCTACCAGTTGGAATACCAAAAATTTGATCTCAACTCCTGTCAAACACTCAACTTCGATCTCAAATCCTGTCGAACATACCCAACTTCGATCTCAATTCCTGACAAACATACGCAATTTCGATCTCATCTCAATTCCTGTCAAACATACCCAGCTTCAAATTCGGTTCCTACAAAAGTTAACTCCGATCTCAATTCCTGTCATCAATCTCAGCTCCTGTAAATTTATTCATCAGTTCATTTCAAACCATTCAATTAAAATAAAAAAGTTTTAATTTGGCCGTTTTGAAATATTTTCAAAAGTCGAAACCAGAAAAAAGTTTTGTAAAACAAAATTTTCAGGATTATATAATCTTGTTTTTAAACTTAAAATTTAGTTCTACTCTAATTCATTTTTGGTAATTTTTATCAAATACTAAATTGCTCAATTTAGTTATATAAATCATTTACTCCCTGTGAACAAAATGTTTTGAATTCATGCTCCCAAATACTGAATCTCAAATACAAAATCCCAAAGTTTGACTCTCAATTACTGAATCCCCAATACTGACCTAAATTGGCGATATGTCAACCCAATAATGAAATAACCCAATTAAAGAATTAACCAAATCAGGTACCACAAGTAATTATTGGACTGGGTTGAGTAAAATATCACATTAAAGCCCTTTCAGTTGTAATTTAAACCACAACAAAAAATTTTAAAACAATTTCCCAGTGTCGAGAAAAACCGTTCTAAAATTTTCAATTTTCTGTATCAATTCGAGCGAATAAAGCAAGCGAGCAGGCTCACAAGCTAAATTATGCCTAACTTAAGACCTTAAAACTTAATTTTAAGCAAGTAAAACTAGTTTTTGGAGTTTTTTTAATTTCATTTTTGGTACCAAATATTTCAAAAAAATTCAAAAATGTTCGGCATTTTTTTAAATTTTTCAAAATTTTTGTCCAATTTGCCTATATTACTATGACTGTTTATTAGGCCTAAATATTTTTACGTCAAATCTTTTTATCACACCAAGCAAAGAAAACTACACTAATTTGGAAAAAAAACTTACTAAACCGTAGTTTTCTAAAGACTACGGTCGGAACATTCTGTGCTACGGTCGGAACATACTGAGCACAGTAACTAGTTATCCTTGTTTTATTTTATTCATAATTTTTTAGGCCGAATCAGTTGGGCTTCTTTTTTCAAAACAAGGATCATTTTTTGTTCCTTAAAAAGGCACAGATTACTGTTATACTTTTTTTTCGTGGCGAATTCAGCAATGGCGAATTCAGGTAGTGGGTCCCAACCTGAAAAAGCTTTCAAGCAGTCAAAAACTATGGAAAAATATGCACGGCAATTTCAAATTAGTTCAAAATTTTCTCATGATTGGCCTTGGCGTGCTGCAGTCCAGGGGCGGATTTAGGGGGCGGCGGACGACCCCTTTCCTTTAGCTATTCGACCCCTTGCCAACCCAAAAGGGCCATCCTTTGGTACTTTTTTGGCTTTCTACAGGCGCCTTTGGCGCAGAAGTTTTGACTAAAACAGCGTCTTGTTAGTGCTTTAGGAGAGCTCGGAAAACCAATTTTTGTCGACCTAAAAAAAGATCGTCAAAATTTTTTCCAAAACTTTTGAAAATTGCACCGCCTCAAGAAAATCCTAGATCCGCCCCTGCCTGCTGCAATCATTGATAAGTTTTTGAAAGGTAAGTTTTGTCTAAAGCAATAAAAAAAGCAGATGATATCAGTGTTGATCAAAAAATAAGAAGAAGGAATTCTAACAACTTGAATTGACGGTTGTTTATTTTACTAAAATTGCCAGTTTTTTGGCAGCGTCCTTACCAGACTTTTTAAAGCACATGTGATACATAAAGTCTTCAGAAGCGACCAAATAAAAATAGCAACCAGAAGAGTTACAATAAACTACTCTATAAGTGAGGTTATTTTCGGATTGGATTTTGGCAGATTCGTTGACATCTCTGAGGGTCAAATAAAAGGGTCATCTGCGGTCAACTAATGCAGCAAGTTTGGCAACAAGCTGGTTTGATTCGACCACCGCCGTGATCCAGTTTTAATCTGTCTCGTCTCCTAATCGCATCTGAATCATCAGTTCTGTTAATGCACCGGCCGTTAGTGCACAATGGTGATGAAGAAGACTCCACACACAGTTTAGCAGCACCACAGAAAAGATCGGCAACGTTCGTGTCGTCTTTTGCCGACGTCTCCACATAGGGGCACCCCCACGACTTCGCACTCGACAGACCCGAGCTCTGACTCACTTCTCGGCCTTCTCGTCGGTCGCACTTGTTGCCGACCAGAACGACTAATTTGGGCGGGTGTTTGGCGCCATATTTGATGATGTCTTCGTGAATTCGGCTGAGGAATTCGAGTGATTCTCGACTGTCGACGGAAAACACGAGAAGAATGACATGTGAATTGGCGATGGTCTTTCGCTGCATAGTCGGGAACTGGAAGTTTCCGTTTGTATCTGTTATCCGAAGGGTTCTCCGACCAGCGCTAGTCTCCAGTTCCTAAAGAATTATAGTTATAGCAACAATCGACACCAATTTTGATTTCCTATTTCCATAATTCTCATTCAGACAAGTCCTACTTGATAGCAAGTGGCATAAGTTTACCCAATAAAATTTTACCCAATTTGTAAATTATTCCAGCATCATTTATGTAAAGGGAAGTAGTTTATCCACTAATGGCATAAGCTATTTTCCAAATGAAGGGGTTAGGGTTTGGATTCGGGTTAATTTTGGTCCCAAAAACTTTAGCAAAAAACCACTGCACCAAAAGTCGCAGTGATTCAAAACAATGTTCATGGTTTAAATTTTTTAAAGCCTTATGGTTCCTATAAATATTTATGTTAATCAAAACAATCCTCATACATGTAGGAAACAGAAGAAAGAGTAGTGTGGTTTGTGTATACCATCATACAATTCAGAGAGCAAAATGTAAATGGGTATAAAAAAGGAAGATTTTGAAAGCAAAAAACGAATGCTCATATATCAGGGCGAAGCTCTGAATGTTCCGACGGCCCCTTTATCCATGTCAATTAGTTTTTGGAAAAAAAATATTGAAAAACTATAAATTCAAGTAACGAAAGTAATGTGCCGATTACGTTAGCTAGCCTCAATTCAATTTGGAATTTTGTGCGGGTTTATTTGTCACGCATAAATAGTTCGCGATATGTTCGCGAATAAAATCTTCAAAACGCGCATAAATTTTCCGGCCAAATTGGCAATTTTGATTGGAGGTAAAACATCTTTTTAATTTATATTTTAAGGAGTCGAGATCTTCAATAGGGTACAAATTTGTATGTTAAAATCTATTATTCCGATCGAGCGAAAATTGACTGAAAAACCACCCCAAGCATAAATATTCCGATTTCTTTGGAAGTAGGATCAATGAAGTTGGTTAAGCGAATTTCAAAACGCTAGAAGCCGGAAAACATGCATTTTGTGTCTGGTGATCTACCACGCAATTTGCGGAAGAGTTATACAAACAGTGTCGCAATGTTTGATAAACTTCGGAAAATTTAAATCATTTTCATCATTTTTTAGCAAGAGATTGATTACTTTAAGGAATTCATCGGACTAATTAACCTGCCTCAATTGAATTTGGAACAAATTTCTGGTGCGGGACAATTCACCACGCGTAAATAATGCGCTTTAACTTTTCAGCATCAAAGTATCACAGCGCTCCTATAGTCACGTTAGTCAATATCTGAGCATTTTACATCAATCATTAAATCCGGAAAGTGTAGTGGTGAGCGTGCCCCTACTGAGAACACGAAGACCCATGGATCAAGCACCCGAGGAAAATATTTTGAGAGTTGGTGTGAATAAAAAACCATCTCGAGCATATATATTCGTTACATTCTTCGAAAGTCGGAACAATAAGAGTTTGGGTTTTTATGTAAACAGCTCCTAAGATAATGAACGTACTATTTTGAAACTTTGAGTGTTTGCATATGAATATGATAATTGTCAAAATCCAATTTTTTTTTTTCAATTTTGCTTTATTTCACTGGCAGCGTTCAAATTTTGACCCAAACTCGGCTTTTAGTAATTTTATCCCTTTTTGTAGTACTCTTCCTTTAAATCCTTAGAATTATACGGTGCATTTTTATCAAACTCGATCCTTATCATACTGATGGAAGTATTTAAAATGTGTACAGAAGTTTTAAGTAGAACATACAATACACGAAACAAAAAAAAACACTTATCTGACTGATCCAATAAAACTTATACCAGCTCAGGTAAGTATCGCTTCTATGCAGGGCATCACATAAATTAAAAAATTGCTTTTACTTTTAGAGAAAAGGTAAAAAGGCAAAAAAAATTTCTACCAGTGAAATTTGCGAATTTTTTTTCTCATGTAATTTTTTATATGGGTAAATTTTAGCATCTGCATTTTCATTGGCAATTCATTTTTTGCAAGAAATAAACCCTTCTCTAAATTTGATGTTACTGAAAGATTTTACACTTCTAAAATGTAGATAATTGTGTAACTTCAAATTGTATTACTTTTTGGAAAGAGCTATATTATTTAACTTATGAGCTTGGAAAGTCCTTTATTCTTGAACTAATAAATTAAAGGTATCAACTACCAAGAAAATAATTGAAAGTCGAGTGAAAATATTGGCACTCTAAAGATTTTAATTGGTACTCAAGGTTACTACCAAAAAACATCTTTTTTAAGCTTGAAATGTTTTATAAACTGCTGCGGGGATGGTGTCAGTTATCTTAAAAAGACCTTAAATTCATTATAGTAAAAACATTTCGTTTACATAAAATAGCAAGATTCTGATTCAAAAAGCTCGCCAAAAAATGAAATTAAAGTTTTTTTTATAAAAAATACTTTGATAACTTTTACATCCTACATTATGTACCGGTTCTCAAACAGTTTTACAGCTGACTAGTAATCCTAATAATTTTAATAATTACAAAAACAATGGTTATCATATTGAACAATTATCATAATATTAAATCAATTTTTATGATTATAATCATAAAAATCTCAATAACAAAGAAAAGGATAACATCATTATTAACCCTGATAATCGCAATATTCAAATTAACAACAAGAGTACTCGTATCAGGCAGGGTAAAACACTGAATGCTCCGACTGCCCATAAACTGGTCTTTCGGGTTAATGAATAGAAAAAAAAATAATAAAAACTAATTAAGTTTTTTTCTGAAGATTCGTAGCGAGCATTGCTATTGGTGGCCATTTCCGTTATTCACTTTTTGGCAAAACCATGACAGAACAGGCTGTAGCAGATTTAGGGGGGGGGGGTGGACGCCACCCTCTCAGGGATTGATCCCTTCACTAACTAAAGGGTCCCCCTTTTGGTGTTATTTTCTGCTATTCATTTTTGGCAACTTTTTATCACTCATAATCGTTTCAAATTGAGTTGAGCTTAGCTAACTGGTCTTACTAACTCCATGAACTCCATAAACTCCATAATATTTATCACCGTGATATTATCAGCCTAAAAATTGTAGTTTGTTAATATTTCATATACCAAAAACGATTCGAGACCAATTAATGGGCAGTCGGAACATTCAGGGCTTTGCCCTGATACGGCCAGTGTTGTTTAGTCTTAATTTTAGCGGTAGACTGGATAAATTACTCTCTTAGTGTTCACTCCCATTGACTTGGAACTGTTCAACTATGTTTTAGCTACTATTAATTAGTTTGGAGCGCCTAATTTAAATATACACCTGCTCTTTCAGAAAACAGTAGAAAACACTAAAAAAGAAAAATTTCTCAAAACCTACTGCTGTCGTTTATAAAATTGCGGATCTACTTAACAATCTCCCCCCTATGGTGCCTACTTAAGAATCACCACCCCTGTAAATAAATACAGTAAATTAGCAAGGAGCTTTCTATTGAGAATTCTAATTTTGCTGCATTCTTATTGGTCAAAAAATCTATCGTTTTGATCTAGTTAACAATCTCCCCTTTTCTTGAAATGAGTAGAGATTGTTAAGTAGATCCAAAATAGCTTCAATAATCATTGTGGGAATCTCTTTTTTCTTTCTACACTGTGCTACTCGAACGACCACTCTTTTCAGATCAAGTTAACATCCCCCCTCCCCTAATAGACCAAGTTAAGATCCTAGCATTCAATTTAAATCAAATTTACGAAGTGGTGCATGTAAAATGCTCTGTTCTGATTGGCTGAAAATTCGAACTAAGAACCAAGTTAACATTCTTCCCCCAAAATGGATTTGATCCCTCTTTTTTTTCAATCGAGGGTTTAGTTCATGGAAACAAGCCAACAAATCAAACTCAGTTGTAACCACATTGCTTTGCTGAGCTTGTTGAAGTTCATACACATGCTTCGATTCTTTGAAAACAGCTTCATGTTGATGGAAATTTTGGACCAACTGAACTAACTCTCCCCTTAATCAAAAAAAGGAGGGAGGGGGGAGATAATTCACTTGTTTATAAGTAATTTTTTCAGCCAATAGCATAATATATTGTTCACATGAACCACGTTTTCTCACCTTCTGATATGTATCTTCGATTGTTGGAATGTAGTGCGTTCTGAACTTCCGTCTGATGAATTGCAAAATTATGGACGATTTGCCGACACCTCGCAGTCCGAAAAGTGCTATTCTTATTTCTTTCTGCTGTTTATCTTGTAGGCTTAAGGAGTCGTTCATCTGATACAAATGCGGATTTCTATCGGCGCTCTTCGAGTGGTCTCGGTCTAAAATGGCAGTTGTGTCAACCGAGCAATTAAACGACTGTGTCAGTTGTTCCGATTGAACTCCGTCGGCCGAGCAATCACTCGGACTTCGTGGCTCTCCGACTCGTTCCGGTCTTCCGACGTGTGTATTCAATTGATTATTGTTATGTCTTTGAGAAGAGAAGTAACTTGGGTTCAATGGGTCGACTTTAAACTTGGACGAATAAGACTGATGTGAGAACTTTTTACTTTCGCCAAGGTCGTTTAAGTTGTTTTCGCCGACTGTGATATCGCCATTGAGAAGGTGAGATTTCAAGGATGATTTTCCTTTGGGGCTCCAAAGAGGTGAGTAGTTTTGGGTCTGATGATGGGGTCCAGATGATCTTTTTTGATAGGAGGGCGCCATTTGCACACTGACTTTAGGCGAACCATTCGAAATCGGATTAAGAGGGCTGGACAAACACTTTCTCGGCGATTCGTACCCTGGATTGGTATAGCTGTTTCGCTTCTACACATGAAAAAAATAATGAAATTCCTTGGAATACAGGTAATAAAAAATGCAAATTGTTGCTGAATTGGTTAAATGTTTTCAATAAAAACTTACTCAATACCAAATGAAATTCCAATTACGGCTGTCTTAAATTGAGATACATTTTTTAAAATGCACATCCTTCATTTCCCTCATCGCCTCGTAAAAATGGTAAACGCTCGCTAATATTACACGTTTAATATATAAATATACTAGTAAGTATAACTTGTCTTTGCCCTTTCTGACGTATTTCCGGGGAGCCGCAAAGAAAACTAATTGCAACTCATCTACATTTTTTTTTACCACAAAGTACTTAATTTAATTAAATAGATGGGGATATAGACACCCAGAAAGCCCACAAAATTGATGAAATAATAAAAACTCAAAATCCCATGCCGCCCGTCATGTACCTGTCCCTCGATTCTGACTCAAGATAATTTCAAAAGGTTCCTTTTTTGCAATATTTTGTATTTTTTACGTGTCAAAATAATCCTTAACACGCTACTAGTTCTGACCAATCTTTTGCAAAGAATACAAATTGGGCTTTTATTTGTGTTAGATGTGACTACCTGTGAGGTTGAATAAAGTATCAAATCAAGTGATAATATTAGCTCAGTCGAGATTCGGATTCCAAAATGAAGCCTCGAAGGCGTGTGATAACGAAAAATCATGAAAAACCGTGTGATTACTGAAATTATTCTTGTACGATGAAATCATTGATAACTTCATCACTAATTTATGCTCTCTAATAACACCGAAAAGTGACTTATTATGATGCCATTACCACAGATGTCTTGCAATACTTGAATTAGAAAAGTCCTTCTAAACATGGAACAAACATATAAAAACCATGTACTTACAGGTGTTTTTGAGGATGCTAGCTCAGGTTGCAACCTAGAGACAGTGTGACTGTAAGTTCTGTTCACGGACAATCCGTTTCTCGCAACTAAGGCTCTTTCCCCCCATTGATTGAGATCATCTTTTACCGCCCATGGTTTGTTATCCTTGGTGCCCGTCAGGCTCCGATTCTGAGTGATAAAGTCTTTATAGCTGTCTGAACTACTGGTGGTGATGTTGTACCTTGCCGCCGGTTTCTGTTTGAAAAGTAAATTGGGACAAGCGCCGACACTAATTTGATGCGTTGAAGTCCCTTGGTGGAAATTGGGGGTACGTGCAGGACTGGTTGGCAGTTGGGTAAAATTACCCCGATTGTCACGTGATCCAAATATCCCGCCGCCGTTCATCGCTATTTTAACCCGCCATGTCTGAGTTTTTCGCAGCGATCATTTGGGCTGAATAGTGTTGCAATTTGAGATTCCGGCATAGGTATGTCTTGCACACTCGCCGTGCGGAGAAGGTCTCTAGGGTTTATTTGAAAGGTAACATGAAAAATTCGGGGGTTTTGTCTGCTCTTTCTCGCATCTTCATTTTCACCCAATTCATGCTACAATAATGCGGTTAGGCATTGCGGAATAACTTAATAACGTCACAGCTGGAGGATTTTATGGTCGCGGTGGGCCCTGCAAACAAACAGAGATATTTAAAAGTGACTAATGCAAATAGGGTATAGATTCCAAACGGAAGAATATTTTAAAACTCAAAATGCAAGCAGATAAAGAGGAAAAAGAGGAAAACTGCAGCATTGAGAGTTTAATTCGCTTTTCCCATGTTTTATATTTGCCATTATTTTAATTCAGTAACACAATAATAAACAAATGAATTGGAAAAGGTATAAAATGTTTGGCCTAATTGACATCTTTTTCGTCGCATTCACTTCAGACAAAATAAATCAAAATGGGGACAATTTATGCTCTGTCCCAAGGCTGGGGAGATCGAGTAGACGAAGGAAAAATTGGTTTATTTATTTCTATAGTCTGCGTATTATAAATGCTATAACTATTATTAATATATTAATACATACGCCACTTATGGCATAATTTTCAATGAATTTTCAGCAATCCTGACTATCGGATGACCCCTTTAAATGATTCTCGATACTAATAGTTAGGTCCCTAAAATAGTTAGGTAGGTTCCTAACTAGAATATAGATGGGTCCCTACAATATAGATGGGTCCCAGAAGAAAAACATAGGCTTACTAAAAACTTCGAAAACAGTTTTAGTTTTTGTTTACTTGAGTTGTTGCACTTTTTTCATAAAAAATGTGGGACCCGCGGAACCAGCAATTATTTCATAAAATGTAATCACTGCTTTTTAGGGACGCACAACTATCCAACTTGTATCCAGGAGTAAATCTAGGGGGGCGAACTTTTTTGCGCCAGTAGCAATTTTTTGAGAAAAAAACCAGGCCAAAAAGACATTGTTAGACATTTTTTGAAAGATTTTGATTTATAAAACTGTGTTTTTACGCGCACTCTCTCTCATGTTTAGAGTAGGTGGGCTGCGAAGGGGCCTTTTAAAAAAATTTAGGTCTGTCAGCCAGAAATGCATGTCCTAAGATAGTACCAAATGGCGACCCTTTGGGTGGTCTGGGGGTCGGATCTCTAAAACAGGGGAGTCCACTCCCCCCTTTAAGGTTGGTCTTAATTAAAAACAGGCCTCTTACAATTGCTACCAAGTTTTCATCCCTTTTACTGCGTATTTATCGGGCAGCCAAAACCAATTCAATCAGAATACTTCCCAGTAACGTTATCCTGCTATAAAAAAAATCAATCTTCCTACAAACGGCAAAATAAATCACATGTAAAACAATAGAAATAAATCATTAGACCGATACAAGAAAAAAGCTTTGATGTTGCATTCAGAGATGTTTCGCTTCTGAAATCAATGGCCACAAACGCCTTTGAATCAAGGCCAAGACTACAACACAACGTTAGCTGGCTGCTGTGCAAGTAGCCTCCACGGTTCTGACCATACCGTTATTTTGAATGCAACTTTAATCAAAAGCTTTACTTGTTCTTTTACTGAAGTCAATCAGACAATCTCTAATCAAAAAGGTTTCAGAAAAAAAACACTTGTTTTTTTCCAGACTGCGAAAAATTGTTTTAATACAGCTCGAACCACGAATGAAAGCGATTTTACGCAAGTTTTGATTTTGTGGTTAAAACTGTGGTTAGAGTTGTTGATTTGGTTTTTTTTCGTTGTGTTTTGACCAAGTCTCGCTATGCTGGAAAATTCTTTGAACTAGCTGAAACACTTGCGTAAATTTAATGGTAAGATATCTTTGTGTTTTTGGTGTTAATTCAAGACTAAAAATTGGTTGTGATGCGTTGAAGCAGCAGATTATTTATTTCAGTATCAATTATTGTTGATTGTAGAACTTTTTTTTCGCCTTACTTTGTTTTGTTGATTAAGACACTAACCAGAAAAACTTTTCTTAATAAGAGGACGGAGTCAAGAAGGAGCCTATGCGTGAAATATTTAATGTTTTAACTTAAACTTCAAGTGGTATGAACGATGTTTTATCTGTGCGCAAGCAGTGGAATCCCTCATACGCGAAGGACCGAATGAGCAAAAATCAGCCTATCAGACTTCAGTCATCTAAAGTTTGGTAAGAAAGTAAACATTTCCAGGAACTAAACATTAATATTGACCGAATATGAAAACGGCAGAAATATGCAAAATTTTCAAATTGTCACTGACCACCGCCGAATTAGAACAAATTTTATATTGCAAGGGTTTCGTTATGAAAGAAGCAAAAATTTGCTTCATTCAATTCATTCATTTTAATTAAATAGCAATTGCTCCTTTTTAAAAATTGACTTTCGGCTAATTTTGTTTTCGATCCTTCGCCCGCAACTTTTTTCGCCCATTCGGTTCTTCGCGCATGAGAATAGCCCCCTGCGCAAGCATCTCGTTTTTTAAAGCCCATCGCATGCAAGTCTTTTAAGTTTGAACCAGTTGTGCCGACTTTGAATATTTGCGCAATTGACATAGCATGCCCAAAAACCGGAGCAATGTTTTTTATGGGAGCGTGAAATTTCAATTTTTAGTTTATATTTATTGCCATGAATCTAAATTTTTTTCAGTTTTTTTTTAATTTTCAGTGAAGTACAGTCTTTAATGTTTGCCAGATTGTTTTTTCCAAAACTTGAGTGCTTGTTTTGATCTAGTGTTTGTCATTTCTCCCGTAACCAAACTGTCTATTTGACAGCAAGTCATTTTGGTGAACGAAATGGGTTTTTCATTTAATATAAGTAGATCGAACTTTTTTTCAATTATAGGCAAATGGACTTTGGTCTAGAAGTCTTAGATGTTTTTTTCTGCATCTTTTATGAATTGGCACAATTTTTACTTTTTCGAAGAAATTTTGAATTATTATTTTTATTAGACTCTCAATTAATCTTTCTAGGTGTTTTATGAAAAAGTAATTGGAGTCATAGCAGTCTGAGACGAAAAGATTTTTTTGGAGTTACTAATTGCAATTTTTGCTTCCTGAAATGGTATTTTTAAAGATCAATGATTTAGACTGCTCCTTAACAGTGATTGGTATAAAACTGGTTTTGCTGTTGCAAAAAAAACTCGCTAATTTGAGAAATGTTTTTTGAAAAATTCAAAATGTTCACGAGCTATTTGTTCTGGTCTGCCTGGCTCAAAATTTTTCCAGCTTGAGTGATTGCGGTTTTCTTCGATGAATTTATGTTGAAACTGTTTCGGTAAAACTTAAGTTTTTCGTCAGACATTATTTTTTCAATTTAATTTCACTGCTTTCAAAAAGCAACTCAAGCCGTGTTCAATTTGGAATTTATGAAATTTATAACTTGTCTTTGTTTTTCTGAGGAAGAGTTTTTGATTCCCTGCCTAATTATTCGTTTTGATTTATTGTTTTTGTCATTTTAGAAGGGAAGAACCTGTTAATCGGCTGTGCTATTGTGTTGTTGATAGTTATCAAGTATGTGTTGGTATCATGGCCAAAATTTGTAAATAATTACAGTTTGTATGTAGTTCAAGTTTTGCGAAGAATGTTAGCTTCTCCTTACTTTCTCGTTCGTTTGTTTTGTGCCATGGCCGTAACCTTTAGTGTCATCAATTTGGCTAGTGAGCGGTAATTTTTAGTTTTAGCCTCAGTTAAAATTAAAATTAATATTATTAAATTATTTCATTTCATTTTAAAAGATCCAAAATTGCTTCTGTTTATATATGCTATATCTTACATTGCGCCAATTAGCCAGCGTCAAAGATTCCTTTTTGACTTCGATCTTGCTTCTCTGTCATCTAAATCCCGTTTGTCAAGCTGTACTTTTTTCTACTGCAAAAATGAAATGGATTAGGTAATTTTCGAAATTGTGAGTAGAAACATAATAATGGAGTTTCATGTTGAATCAAGGTCTTTAACCATAATTATTTTAACTGATCAACACCAACTTTGGTACAACACTAAAGTGAACAAAGATAGCTAGTAGATGTGCAGGTAGCACAGAATTATTCGACATCATGCATAAAAAATGTTTTTTTTTTCATTAACTTAGTGTCGTTTTTATGTGCGTGAATTGGAGAACGATTTAACAAATGCGTAGAAAATTAGTGAAATAAGCTTTATATACAAAACTGAATTCAAAAAACTTTTACACAAAAAAGTACTTGATTGCTTTACTCGCTCAAATTTAGACTAAATATTAAATTTTTCTCGACATTGCGACAAACTTTTGAAATATTTCAATGCCATTCCAATGACGGCTCAAAGAACTTTGATAGGGTATATCACTCAACTTATCCCAATGACTACTTTTTACTTGATTTTTTTGTGGAAAAAAATGAAAAACACTCGAATGCAAAGCTCCTCCCCATTTTCAATGGACAGAACAAAACACCTTCTATTTCAAATCGTCTGAACCTACTCCAAAGAGGCTAAATGATAACTTACATCAAACCAATAAACTTTTGCTAGGCTCAAAATATCCCAGATAAAGCATTCTACTTAAATACACTCGAACTTTTTTCAAATTTACAGAAAAAATTGTCGATGACAAGTCGTGGATGAAATGAGAGAAAATCCTTTTGGAATGTTCTCACTATACTCTGTCGTTGATCAACTGTTTTTAATTTAAAAAAATGACTTTGAAAAAGTTCGAAGAAAACTTTTCGAATGTTTTAACTTGAAACAATTATTCCTTTTTTTTGTGTTCCACATTTTTTGTGTCTGGCAACGGTAAACTATTTCTAAGAGGAAGTTGCATAACTCGGTTCAATAGTCAAAGAATTATTTCGAACCTTACTCTTAAAACGGACAGCGCTTACTTGCGCCTCGATTATCACAATTTAGCTAATCGCGCCTCGATTATCGCAATTTAGTTTACAGTCGTTAAATTTATCCCTAGCGCAATATCTTGTTAATTTAGAGCCCTGGGCGTTGATTTTTTATTTCAGAGTGAATAAAAAATTTTGTCAAGAATTGTTTGTTAAAATGCCGAAGTTTAATTGGAGAAAACCCACCACGAGCACAAATTTTTTTGGCACTTTCTTTGAAAGTCAAAACAATAAATAATCGGTTAACGTAAGCACAACTGCAAAATGGCAAAGTGGCAATTTTCGTAAAACGATTGTTTTACACAGTCAAAACAT